TGTTGCGATGCAAAGGATGGGTGAAGTTTTTATTACAATGTAGGCCCTCTGGACCACTTTCCCTGAAGGAAGGAATGTCACAGACTCTTCTCTCTCAAAAAGAACTGCTCCCTTTTGAAGTGGTACCTGAGGTACCCAGAGCAAACCTTTCCTCCTCTTGAATCCTTGAAGCTTCCTGTCCTCTCACAGGCCAGCGCATTGACACTTAGGAAATGCCTGTTGAATTGACTTTTTAATGTTCTATACAAGAAAACAAAAGGCAAGACATTTCACATTTTTCTGAAGTAAACAATTTGATAAAGGTCATAAGAAGGAAGAGAAATTTACAAGTATAAATTTAGATTTGGGAATGATCCCAACACTTGTTTGACATCTGGGGATCCTGAGATACAGAGGTTGACATTCTCTGCTCGTTCCTGGAGTGATCATTTGCAAAACCAACATCTGAAGCCAACTGTCCCACTCAGGAGAAAGAAGGTAAGCACACCTGGCCTGTGACTGGAACACAGAGAAAACAGAGACTAAAGGTGGTGAAGGCAGCTGAATAAAGAGCCCAGAGTGTGTACCTTATTAGCCTTGATTTCCTCTTAACTTTGAAGTTGTCTCCAAGGCTTTGAGAGTTTTCTTTTATTCATATCATGCAGCTCTGTGCCTCCAGACAGCTCTCACACACACACGTATCTGTAATTTCTATAGACAGCTTTGATGGATATCCGTGAGACCACATGTTCCTCCATTCATGCTTTTTCTTTCTCTTAAATATTTATAAAGGTTCACAAGCAGAAATAAAAGTCCCTCAGATTCAGAGCCAACTAAAAATAGCACTCTGTTCCTTGCCAGGCAATCTGGCATCAATCAAGGCCATCGGAAAGATGCTAGGGAGGAAAGAAGAGGAGCTGATAACCTTTTTATCGAGATTTTTAGTCATCCTTCTCTGTTATTAATAAGTTAGCAAGATTGGCAGTTTGGGATGCAACACAGATGTTTTTGGGGCCCTGCTGCTGAAGATAGTTGTGTCTTTATGATTTGCTGATAAAATGTGTTCGTAGGCAGAGCAGGCTTTCAACGAGCAATTGCCACCGAACTCTAGTTGTTGACAAAGGAAAGGGTGGACAGGATCTTTGGGCTGGGGTGGGGACTCCATGAGCTCTCTAGATACCTACCATTTCTGTTCTTTGGGTTTAGGCTTCCTTTGGGGCCATATGTACGAAGCTGCGATTGATGGATACACTCAGGAACCATTACTTTGCAGCTCAGGTGGCACATATAGGCAACTCAAATCTTGCAGCTCCCCAGGGTTATTGAGAAGCTAGGTAGTCATTTTTCCTGTTTCAAGTTCACCCCTGCACTACCTCTAACCGGCAGACTTGAAATGTCATCAGGGGATTCCGGTCACTTTATCTCTCCCTGAGTGTTGCTGTAAAGGGTGGGGGTCCGTTACAGAAAACTGCAGATCTTGAAATTCTGTTAGAATTCTTTGATTCTCCTTTTCCTGTCTGTGGTCAGCTATTTAGCTTCTTTTGGGTGGGAAATCTGTTTTTGGACTCTAATTTTTTTTTTCCCCTGGCTTTATCCCTGCCTCTTAAAACTTTCATTTTGCTTTTGAAATCTTTGCATTTCCATTGATATGGTAATTTTTCATGGATATGGTAAATTGGTAGTAAAGACAATGGAAAGTGTAGAGGGTAATGCCTACAAAAAAAAAAAACAATAGGAAACACCTCTAATAGTTCAATGTTTTATCCTGTCATCTCTTTAGTCCTCTTAACCTGGATTTAGTTATTGGGAAGGAGAAGAAGAAAAAAAGTTTACACACATAGACTTGTGGTAAAAATAAGGAGGCTTAAAAATCAATTCAAATTTGAACCAGGTAAATGTCTTTATGTGTACCTACAGCCTCCTTTTCCCCACAAAAAACATTTATTCCTTTGACATCAGCTCAATTGGTTGAAAAGATTGGTTGAAAAGAGAAAGAGTTGTGCAGTTTTTTTTTTTCCAATATTCTCTTTCAGTAGCTATTTTGTTGTTCAGAAGATGAATTTTGTTCAGAGATACTTTTATGTATAACTGAAAAGTGGAATAGACAAGCGAGTCCTAGTTATGTCCACTTCCCATTTTTTTCATTACATAAGCTTTTTTTTAAGTTATAGAATGCATGGTTGACAGCATATTTTTATGGTTTTTATTATTTGCTGCCTAATATTAAAATAAGATTGTACTATGTGATTGTTGTGATATTTATAGACAGAAGTGGGTGTGAGAGTGCATCAAAAGTTGTAAGCAACTGTCTGAAGAGAAAAAAAAAGTAGTGTGTTTATTATTGACGAGGCTGAATGAAATGAGGAGTTAGAAGTTTAAATATATTGGGAAATCTCACAATATTACCGTTGCCTAATTGACCCCCATTTCAGCTCACAAGAGTTCCTAAGTGTCTTGATGTTATTTCTCAAAATTAACATAAATTATTTTTATTTCTGTGCAAATATAATCTGTTATTTCCTTCTTAATATTGAGGAAAAGTGCTGGCTATTAGACTTCATGCAGACAAACCTTGGATCTTGAAGACTTGTAAAATTGCTACCATTTTCTTTGTCTTTTCCTTATATTTCTGGACAATCAAGTGACATCTCTAAGATCCATGAATGTTTAACCTTCTGATTATGAGACCAGTTGATAACTTTCTCCTGCTATAGACATCCATTCAATATTCCTCAATATACAGTTACCCAACATTTCAGGTATGCAGGTATTATGTAAGTATCAAAAGAGATACAAAGATGCTTAAAATGCAATTCTTGAGCCTCCCTGGTGGTGCAGTGGGTTGAGCACAGCGCTGTGAAGCTGCCCGCAGCCTCTGCATCGCGGGTTTGATTCCTGGCTGGCCTAGGAGATTCCCACATGGCATAGCAGACCTCTCCTGTCTCTCCCGCTGCTCCCCTCAGCAGTGTATTTCGGTTGTCTGTCTGTTCTGTGCCCCACTCTGTCTCTGGTGAATCCTCTCACCCTCTTGCACCTCTGGCCTGTACCCCAGCTCCTGCATAAAAATAAATAATTTTTTTAAAAAATGCAATTCCTTTTTCAATGTGTACATATAATTTTCCTTTATTAAAAGACAATTTCTTGTACCCTTCGTCCAGCTTCTCCCGATGTAACATCTTGAAAAAAACAAATAACAATATCATAACTGGGATATTAACATGGAGACAATCAAGAGACTGAATCACCACAAAACTCTTCATTTTGCCCTTTTCTGGCCACATACATGACCTTCTCATGTTCACTTCTTCATTAACTCCTGCAAGCACTATGGCGTTCTCCATTTTTACATTTGTCATTTCAAAAATGTTAAATGGAATCGTAACAGTTTATAATTTGGAGGGGGATTCAATGCAGTTCTTCAAGTTTCTTTCAAATACGTGAAAGATATAAACAAATATAAAAATAGTCGAATCCATTATAAAGTATGACATAGTGTGCTAGGAAACAGCTTCCGATATTTGGGGCTGTTTCTCTTGCAGCCAGGATTCACAGGAGCAGGAATTAAGAGGTGGAAATGGGAGGAGCAACACTCACTATCCCTAGTGACCCACTAGCCAAATTTTTGCTTCTTGTTCCTGTTGACTTTATGTTCCGCTGGCCTAGAGCCCTTAGATATAAAGGAAAGAATTGTTCCACAAGGAGACACAGAGCTGGAAATTAAGACTGTCACCTGACTATTTTTGGTTCCTCATGCCTCTGAATCAACAGGCAAAGAAAGTAGTGACTGTGCTGGCATAACTGGTTCTGACAACCAAGGGGAAGCTGAACTATTCCTCCACAATGGAGGTAAGGAAGAGTATATTGGGGATACAGGTGATTCCTTAAAGTTTCACCTTGCCCTAGGATTAAGGCCAATGGAAAATATAATAACCCAATCGAGGCAGGACTTCTGACCTTCAGGAACGAAGGTTTAGATTATCCTCCCAGATAAAGAATCATGATCAGGTGAGGTGCCTGCCAAAAGCAAAGATAGCTGGTCAAACTTTATTTTGGGGTGTGTCTGTAAAGGTGTTTCCAGAAAAGATTATCATTTAAATGGGTAAACTGAGTAAAGAGCTTCTTCACCAGTGCAGGTGAACATTTTAGTCTGATGGAGGCAGGGGAAGAGTATGTTATCTGGTACATCCATCTTCTCCTATCTTCAGTCATTGCATGCATGGTTCTTGGGAACTGGAATTTATACCAAGGGCAGGAGGCTTGAAGACTATATAGTTGCTCAACTATTCAACTCTGATACTTTACTGCGAAAGCAGCCACAAACTAATGTCATGAATCGGGATGGGTATGTTTCACTAAAGTCATATTTATGAAAGTGCCTGGCTAGGCTGATGGGCTGTGACTTGCCACCTTTTGGTCTGGAGAATTGAGAGCACTGTACCTGGAGTGAACTGAAAATTAATGGTTAATGCAGGCTATTGAAATTTAGGTTCAAACATTTGATGTTTTTCTGTTGTAATAAGATACCACTGGAGGATTATAAATATATGATTGGAAAAAAATAACCTTTCTAATGATGTTGAGGAGGGATGAGAACGTAAAAGCACCAACTTATGAGGTTATTATAGGTAGATTCTATTAAAGGTGATCAAAATTCAAATTCAAATGGTTGGTGTAATAAAGGCTCTTCTCAATTGTTAAAATATATAACCATTTCTCTGAGTTCCCTTTTATCAGTCAGGATCTTTGCAGGAAGCAAAAAAAAAAAAAAAAATTACTTAAATTGGCCAAAGAGATTAGTGGAGAGACTACATACAAAGATGTGGGCAGCGTGTGGGGAAGTTACAAGAGATGGTGTAACACTCTCAGCTTCATAAGAGTAAGATTGTGCCTCACACAAAGGGATGACAGGTGGGAATTTCTCAAACCCTTCAAGAAAGCATTGAAGTGAATAATGGTAGAGGCTCACCTCAACCCTTCGTGATGTCACAGGCATAAGAATCATTATCTGCATCTCACTCTTCTCTCCTATAGGTTCAAGTTTCCGCTGCTATCCACATTAGAGCCTTCCTGTGAAATGGAGTAAAATGAAGAAGCAGTTACTATTGATTTATATGGAAAAAATCTTGCATTTTCCCAGGCCCTGAAAATAGCTTACCAAATCATAGTAAGTAACACATAAAACCTACAACCACACCACCATATAGTGAAAGCAGGACTGACATGACACATATATAGCTTGTGTCAAGTCCTTTCCAGGAAGAAGCTTGGTGGGGGCCACTGTTGTGACATAGGGTGCCTGCTGCCTTTAAGATTGGCTGCCCAAAACAGAAGCTGAATGCCAGTTTGTTTCAGCTTTTGTCTAAAGGGGAAAATCCTCTTCTTGGGGTTTCTTGCAGTTAGCAGAGACAGGTACTGATGTAAGTCATTTCTAAAAGTGAAGAAGTAGAATATGGCTTTTTTTTTAATAAGTGGGGGATATCACTACTCAGTCAAACACAAGAGGAAGCCCAAGGGCAGATGAGCATCTGTTGCAGTGTGTATGGTGCAGCCTCTCAGGACAGAGTAGGATGAGAAATGGTAGAGTGTCTCTTGAAAGGGAAAAAAATTCCATTCTCATGATACTCAAATAAGTGGTCAATAACTTAAAATCAATCAAATAAACAGAAAAATAGTATTTATAATTCCTCAAATATTTACAGTTTCTCAAGTATTCATGTGCTCCCTAAACTCCCATTGTATGTGGTGGGGTCATCCGACCAGTTCTGAAAAATGAGTCTTGAATGGAAGTAGCACATGCTCCTTCTATTTAACAGGCAATACTTGACCCTGTAGCTTTTTCTTTCTTTGCTCTAGGATTATGTACCCTGCCCCCCCCCACAAAATACAAAGAAGCTGCAAATGCAGTCCTAGTTTCTGGGAATCTTGCATGATACCACTACACCAGCGGCGCTGTTTGCAGTCCTAGTTTCTGGAAGTCAAGTATGCTGTTGGAGAAAGAGCCAGATCTACCTCATCAAAAAGCAATGCCCTGGAGAACTACAGGGCCTGCGGCTGACTTGCACAGTGAGATGTATTTGTTGTTATTGTGCTAAGCAAGATTTTGAGGGTTAATTTTTTCCTGAAGCATAACCTAATCATCCTGATTAATGTACTTAGGAAACTTCCAGCCTCAAGCATTGATCTCAAAAATGTAATTGACTATTATCGTTTAGCTGAAGAAAAATGTTCCAGCATGGGAGGCTGTGCGATACATTTAGGAGGGGAAACTGACCAACACTAGCTAGATAGTTCTCTTCTGTGGGGCTGTTGTAGGGAGGGACAGATCTTGGTGCTCTATCACCTAACTTAATTGATTATTCTGTTTCTGAATGTGCTTCTTCCCCAAATTTCACCACCCCACACTTCCCATCGACATATTACTAAGTTAGGTATCATGGTATCATAGTCTCTTGAAGGGTAGAGGTCAATACAATTGCTTGATGTGACCTGGAAATAAGTTATCAGTTGGGAATCAGAGTATCTCCTTCTGACCTGTGGGAAGAGCTTGGATTTTGCAGTCGTCATGTGATTGAGATCCAATCACCCATGACCTTGTGCTATTACTTAACTGAGCTTCAACGTCCCCATCTATCCAATGATAATACCCACTTTGCAGGGTTACAGTAGAATTAAAAATAAGTTATATGTTTAAAAACTAGCATAGTGACTGCCTGATGAATATGGTAATGATTAATAATTACCAGGTAAATGATTGAAGTCTCTTACTTTCAGTCTGTGAGAATTCAGGTGAATTTGTGGCTGACATACTTGAATTAACCAAGACATAGTCTCAATCCTTCACTGAATGTTTGGTTTTGCTGGCTTGGCCTCATTCTCATACAGCCTTGCGAAGTTTTTGTGAAGGGAAAACCAGAAATATTTGTTTAAGGAGTATTTTATAAAACAATGTTCAATTAAAAATGCAGATTTTTTTTTTGATAAAGTCATTGGGCATGGTAGATCAGAACTGAGTGGAATAATCAAAAGGTGGGGCCCTCTGTCATGATTTTTAAAATGTAATCATTTTCAAATCAGGAGCTTTTGCCAGCTTCTATATTCTCAGTAGAAAAATGCCATGCCTGGCCCACTTATACCCACAGTTATTATGAGACTCACAGAGAATAAAATATCTGAAGGGTTGTGGGAGATTATGAGTTGGGTATAAATTATTACAGTTATTTCAATGTCTAGCAAGGTGCTAGACATTTGATCAAATGTTTACTGAATGGAGATAGATAAATAAGTAAAAACTAAATCAAAGGAAATAGTAAAGAGACTTGGGTTACAGACTGTTTCGTGAGGATGGAGAAGCAAACCTCCAAGTTCACTAACCTAGAATATTGAAGTCTAACCTGCATAAATAGACCTGGTAACTTGGAGCTAGCAAAGTCCTACATTAGGATTTTGAAAGTCAATGAATTCAACCCCCTCGATCCATAAGGAATGTGAGGACAGAGAGGGACATGCCTCGTGGCTAGGGGTAAAGTTGGGATCTCAACCTTTCTCTTCTGACTTTTAAGATCAATGCTGTTGGTACTCTACTGGATGCATGTTGCCTGACTTGATGAGGTCCCCTTCACTGCTAAGATGGAGAGGATAATCAAGAAATATGTCTGGCCCTTGGTAGCACATGTGTTAATGAAACCTAATTCATGTGCTTTGCTTTAGATCCACAAACTCTACACTCATTAGCTTATGCACAGTCTTCTCCCAAATAACCCCTGAGGGGATTTAAGTTGTGTTCTGAGTTTCAAGTGACAGATCAATTTTTCCCTTCTCTGGGGCTCTGTCCATACTGCCATCATTTAAGGGAGTGGAGCTCTGTGCATACTGAAGTAATCATGGTTCATGTTTCCAGGCCAAGGTGGAGGTTTAGAGTCATATCACATTCTGTATTATATGTACTTTCCACAGTGGGCTGCTCTTGTATTAAGGACCCTGAGACAATCATAGGACTTGCCCCTGCCTTAGATCAACCTTGGCCTTTGAGCCTGAAACTTCTGTGCTAATGAAAGTTGCTGAATATCTAAGAGCATGGCTCTTACCGGCCAGTTAGCTGCAATGTTGTAGCTCCTGACTCACCACTCTCAATTGAGAGTGTGTGGGCACATGTGGGTGTGGATATGTGATCACTTGTACTATGACTGGAAGTGGAATATGAATCAGTTAATGCTCTTTCTTGCCATTAGTGGCAAGTTGATATGTATTGGAAGTAATCCAACAATGGATTTCAGCATAACTCTGGGGTATTTACTATGTAGGAAACATAAATTATGCTGCGTGTGTTCTTTATATTATTTGACCCAAAGAACAAAGGAAAAATTACAAGTTTCTCTTTACTCTGTGTAGGATTATTGGTTGTTAGCGCAAACAAGATTTTGTAACTGGAATACAGGGTTCTTCACCCCAAGTGTGGTTTTAACTTGGGTCTCCGGTGTAAAATGCAAGTTGAGAGAATTTTAACTACCCTGTGGAAATACATATACAGTTTTATTTACTCATAAGCATGGGTATGGGTATGTTTAATGAAAGCCTGTCTTAAGTTGAAAGCATAGAAACAGTTATTCTTCAGTACATAATTGCAATAGCAACCTATTATATAAAACAACCCTTCTTTGGGTCAAAACACCACTTTGGTGGTAATATTTTTGACATGATAGATGGTAAGGGGGTGTGTGTGTGTGTGTTTCTGGGCAGACTTAAAATTGAACACAGTGTCCTTGATTGGCAAGTTGATTATATTTGAAGGTGGAGGATGGTGCGAGCTGTTCAGGTTGACTCCATTCTTCTGGTTTGTGATGTTTCTCACAACTAATAGAGAGGAGGAGGAGATGGAGGAGTGGATTTTAGAAGTATGGGCATTTTGACTGAAACTACATGGACTGGAGTTAGATTATTTGACTATACCTCTTCCCCATTCGAATGTTATAAAATTTTATAAAAACACAAAATTCCATTTTACTTTCATCTAGTTTTAAAAATTCTTCTGCATATCATTATTATTGTTATTGTTATTATTATTAGCTCTTTAATCTCTTTAATCTAGTGACTTAGTGGAACACAAGACAATGAAGTGATGGTCTTTCCCCCCTGATATTCTGGGCTTCTAAGATATGGTAGCTACGAATTCCATTTATCCTCCTAGTTCCTTTTCTGCTGAGGGAGATTATTTAAGGCTTTTGATCTGCCTTTAGGCATGAAAAATAAGACCAATGAAACAAATTTATATCTGACTGTTGGGTCCCAAGAAATAGCAAATTTCAACATTTCCCCTAGCAGATAAGGCTGAGGTGAGGCAATGTTACCCTGTACCTCAATGAGAAACAGAAACATTAAAGACATTAACAGAAAGAGGTAAAGAGCTGAAAGAAATGATGCACTAAATTGTATTTTATTTTAAACGTTTGGAAAATTAGGTGAAATGCAAGACAATGCCTTTGACAGGGACCAGCCGGAGATAAAAAAGGACTAGTATGTGGTAAATATCTTTTGATGAGAAAAAACAAATTCAGGTATCTGTGGTAACACTCTGTTTGTCTCCTTGTTTATCTCCTCAACCATCCCTCAATCTACACAGAACCACTAGAGAAAACCACTGCACAGTCATCAAGTTGCCCCAAATATATCTTAGAAGGCTGACCTGAAAACAAAGATGGAAATTCTGCGTAGCGAAACTCTGCATTGCTCAGCGTGCGTCGTTGGGAACTGGGGAGTATCAGTCAATCTCACATGTATACACACTCTTCCTACTTAATTGTCTTTGATTTAGGGTAAATTGGCTGGGATCCTAACTCTAAATCCACTTTTCAAAATCTGTAAACCAGGCCAAGCAATTCTTAGAAACACTTCCTGAGATAAAAGGGATTTTGAAAAATATTAAATATACCATCTAATTACAGTTTAGAACAACATCTGAAAGTCTCTCCAAGGCGGAGTTGAGTTGAGAATTCTATGCCTATTTTATAAATGGGATGTGGAGAAGAGACAGGGAAGGAGAAGGAACTGAACGACATGTCTAGTATTTAAAACATTTTAAAATTCAGTTACTTTTTATTGAGGTAATGTTAATCTGTAACACTCTACATGATTTAGGGGTATAGTTCACACCTCCTCAGATGTATGTCACCACACCCACCACCAAAGCACCCATAGTCCCCCACCACAGTCCATTGGGCCCCCTCCCCCTTTACTTCCTATCCCCATCCACCCTCCTGATAACCCCAATTCTATAGTCAGATTTCTAGTGTTTGTTCAGTTTGGCTTAGTTTTCTCTGTTCCCTTTGTTTTGAAAGACCTGCCACTTGGGGCTGAATATTGCCAGGGGCTTGGAGGAGAAAAACATACTGGAGTCCATTAAAAGTAAACTCTGGGTTGTGTGGCCCACAAGCGCCCTTAATTCTGAATTTTGAAGCCAGAGCATAAGGGTAGATTCTAGTTCTAATTTGGATGTCCCTAGTACCCTTTCTGGGAAAAAAACAAAAAACAAAAAACATCAGCTTAGTTTCACGGCTGGCTTGTACTGCAGGATAAAATTAAAAGTTTTTTTGCAGTTGTCCAAACACATGATTTTTCTAATTTTTCCTGGACCTACATGGCTTTATATCTTCACAAAATATCTATTTTATGTCCATTCTGCACTGAGGCATAGTCTAAGATCAGGCCTTTGTGACACCTTCAGGGAACAGTCCGCACTATGTCCCTTTCTATAATAAAAATCCATGCAATCTCTGTACCCATGTTCATATCCATTTTATCCTATCCTCTGTTACAATTGCTAATATATATTTATTAAAGATTTATTTATTCATTTACACAAGAAACAGGGTATATGCCAGATGTGCGGGAGGGTGAGAGGATTCACCAGAGACAGAGCGGGGAGCAGAGTGGGTAGATTGACTGAAATACACTGCTGAGGGGAGCAGTGGGCGAGACAGGAGAGGTCTGCTGCACCATGTGGGTATCTCACCGGCTGGCCAGGATCAAACTGGCACTGCAGAGGCTGTGGACAGCTTCGCAGTGTGGCG